CATTTGTCTGGGGTTGTACAGTGTTAATGATATGGAAAAGAATACAAAGAAAATACTTAACTCTTACTTTCTCAAAAACTTATGTAGATTTTTTAATGCAACAGAGAAACACAAAGCCATTACTATACTCACTCCTGGCTTATACCAGTTTCTTGACTACCGGTTATCTTTCTTCAAAGGGTGAACAGGTATCACCCCTTCCCTCTTTTTTGTAACCATCTTCTAACATTAAACACAGTATATCATGCAAGTAGACACAAAATATTTTTGTTAATAGGAACAAACCTTTTGAAATTTGCAGAATTAGCAGTTTGAAGAACCAGGTAGTGATTCTTGAGAGCATTTTGGCTGCTTTAGAAAAGTGCTGTTTACAACTTGCAGATCTAGTCTCTTCAGTGGCTTTGAAATCCATTTACAAATCTAAGATTCACTTTAATGCAATAAAAATAAGAATCTCTTTTACCTTTATTTGAGGTTTAGTTAATACAACAAACGCATCATCGTTATTTAATTTATGCAAAAGAATCCTAAAGCCTTTTGTAAGATTTATACATTATCTCAGGGATTCAGATACTTTAATAACATCTCTGTTTTTAGGAAAACTTATTTTTGTTGATAGGAAATGGGCTTTCTCCCAAATTAGTGCAGGTAGACCTTGCTTAGCAACCACAATTGGGACTGGCAGCTCTGTCATTAAACAAAGCGATCGCTAAGTGGGAAGTCATGTGACTGCAACTATGCTTTCCTTTTCCCCACTCCCTCACCCTTTGGAATGCTCACCCCGGCACTGGGATAATTAACAAGAAGGGAATTAGTGTTTACATTTACATTCATTGCAGAGGAAGGGTAACAAGAGAGTAAGCAGGCACACAATGGAGAATACACATCAAAAGTAATGCACCGGCAGCTGCGCTACCAAACAACCTGGTGTATTCCCATTATGTGTCTGCTCAGTCTCTTGTAATCCCTCCACTCTTCAAGGGAGGCGGGGAAATGGGTTTGGCACCTGAGAGATTACTTATAGAAATCACTTGGGTTTTTTTCTCCCCTCTCCCCTCAGAGAGATTGGAGAGGAAGGGATTACAAGAGAGTAAGCAGGCACACGGTTTCACCTTTTGAAAACTTTATTTCTGTTAGCCCTAGAGATAGAGTCATACCTCTGCTACCTCATTCAAACAAGAGGGACCTCTCTGAATCTTTCAACAAGCAAAACCAGCAAATACAAGCCAAAGCTGCCCTTCTCTTGCTTTCCAGCTCTTCCAACAACGTCTGTTCTTTTTCTTAGACTTCTTTAAATGATGGAAGCCTCTGTACATCTTCTCTTTAACAGTGCAGCACACATATCCCCTTAATTTCTAAATTTTAAATCTCATATCTGTTTTGCATTCTGCTTTTGGTGTTGGCATGTGAAAAGATGCTTGGCAAAATTTCTCCCCAAATATATAACATCCTGTCTTGTACACACTGAAGTTTTAAGTTCTAAAAATATGTTTTTTGTAAAATAATTAGCACTGTAATGAATGCATACTATATGGGTCAAATTAGACAGCTTCAAACTTGGCATTTTCCAGATGAACATCCTAGTAACCATGTATATTAAATTTGTATATGTGAGTGAACATAAACACATTTGATTTATTTATTTGTAAGCATTGCGTGTGTATATATATCCATGTATGTATATGGTCATGGAGGTAAGCAGTAAATTAAAATAAAAAGTATACATTTGTCAAACCTGCTACATTAGATTCCAAATAATTTAGGACATCAGACTTCTTTTATTTAGAATTTTCTGGAACACCCCGCTATTGAGTAAGATAACTCTGTTTCCTCCCTTTTGCAAACCTCTTGCAAGAGGGAGGAAATGCAGTTGTCTTTTACTGTGTAGGATTATCTGAATAAGCCTTTGGATTCTCCTTGTGTACGTCAGATGTGAAAAATGGAGATGCTAGGCTGTAAATTTGTAATCTACCAAGTGTAAGAAAATGATAAATAACCCAACTATGATGCTTTAGCTATGTAAAAGTAGCTGCTCCTGGGTCTGGCATTTGTCACTTTTGGTGCCCTGGTGATCATAAGCATTTTAGGGCATTGTTAAGGTATATACTTAACAGTAAAACTCTTCTTTCTGCATCAAATTGTTCCATTTTAAATGTTCAAGTTAAAATAGAATGTATGAATGTCATGTTATAGCAATATCCTGTACATCATCCTAGGCTGCATTACAGAAGATTATCCTCCTGGATTGCTGTGGGGTTTGGGAGTTGGGTGCACTGTGCTACGGTGGTTCTCCTTTCTCAATGTCCAGTTCTAGTCTGTGAGGGGCCAAGGATGCAACTTCTGCCCCTCCTGTTTAACAGCTACATGAAACTGCTGGGTGAGGCCATTCGTTGGTTCAGGATCCAGTATCATCAATATGCAAATCATACCCAGTTGCACTTCTAGACTCCAGGCTGGCTAACTGATGCCATCAGTGTCCTGTACCAGTGCCTGGAGGCTCTGTGGGCCTGGATGGGAAGGAACAAACTCAGGTTCAGTCTTGCCAAGACTGAGTGGCTATGGGTTTTTAGGCCCCCTGGATCTGGTGACTTAGATGGGGTTGCACTTTCCAGTCTGGAGATCCTCCTCCAGGTGGCAGTTGTGGCCAAGAGGGCCTTTGCATAGCTTCATTTGGTGTACCAGTTGCATCCATTCCTGGATTAGATGGCTTTCCAGACAATCTCTTATGCCCTAGTTACCTCACTGTTAAACTGTTACAGTATGCTATATGTGGATCTGTCCTTGAGGACCACTCAGAAGCTACTGCTGGTCCAGAACATACCAGTGCAGGCAGTATTGTCTCATTATGCCACATGATACCACTACTCTGTGAGCTACAGTGGTCGCCAGTAAACTTCCAGGTACAATTTAAGTTGCTGGTTATCACCTGTAAAGCCCTTCATGGCATAAGATCAGGTTATTTGAAGGACAATATATCTCCCATGGTTTCTGCCTGTCCAGTAAGATCAGGTAGAATTGGTGTGCCTCAAATTCCCTCAATTAAACAATGTCATCTATCTCTGTCACAACACCTGCCCTCTGGAATGGAATCCATGTAGTTCCCACTTTGAAAAAGTTTCAGAAGTCTTTAAGAACCTGGCTGTACTCCCAGGCCTTGGGGTAGGGTGTCTGTGGAGCCCTGGTTGGTTGGTTGGCTGATGTGTGCTTTATCCAGATACTTAGATTCTTTTTGTTGTTTTTGTGTTTTAAGTGTAAGCCACCCAGAGTTGTTCTGAAGCCAAGAAGTTTCTAAATAAATAAATAAAGCTTTGTGTTAAATTAGTTCTTTTTCTGAGCTTCAGTTTTGTGTATAAGTTCTAGATCCATGTCTTTTTTTTATAAGCTGGTCATCCACCTAAATACTATACTTGCTAGGCAAGTTATCCAATCATCTAATTATATTTTGAATGTCCAGAATGTGCCAGTGACTTGATGACTGAACACTTGGAATCTTTCATTTGATTCTTTAACAGGTCAGCATAATTTTAAACAAGTCAGACTATAAGAATAGAGCCTAACATTTTCAAAAGAACTTTGCATTTCAAGGCAAGAAAAACTTATTGGTGAAGAGCATTACAATTCTTGAGTGCTATCTCACCCATTGTCTATGGGAAACCAAAAATTCTGTGTCCTATAAGCATCTTCTAACTGCTCTGTGTTAAACCAAACAGAGAGGAAGAAGGTTTGGGGAACTTTGTAGAAGCAGAATTACAATATAATTATTTTTTAAATGATTCCTATAAACTAAAAGCTGTTGACGTACTGGCCCAGTGTCTGGAGGTTATTTGGGTCTGAATGGGGAAGAACAGACTTTGGCTTAATCCTGACAAGACTGAGTGGCTGTGGCAGTTTGCCTCCACCTCTACCCCACCTCCCGGGGCTGGGACATTTCCATCATTGGTCTTGCATAGGGTTGCACTTCCCCATTCAAACTGGTACACAACTTGGGGGTCCTCCTGGACTCACAGCTGCTGGTAAAAGAGCAGGTGGCAGCTATGGTCAGGTGGGCCTTTGCACAGATTCATCTTGTGCGCCAGTTGCACCCTTTCCTTGACTGGGAGGCCCTTCAAATGGTCACTCAAGCCCTGGAAACCTCATGACTGGACTGCTGCAATGCACTGCCCTTGAAGATCATCCAGAAGCTACAGCTGGTACAAAATGCAACATCGTGAGTAGTAACAGGCACCTCACCATATGTCCATGTGTCACCATTGTTACACAAGCTGCATTGATTGCCAGTAGCCTTCTAGGTGCAATTCAAGGTGCTAGTCACCATCAGTAAAGCCCTTCATGGCATACAACCTGGTTATTTGAGAAACTGCCTATTTCCTATGATTTTGCTTGCTCGGTATGGTCAGGCAGAGTAGGTACACTCCAGTTCCCTTCAATTAAATGCTGCCATCTTGTGGGACTGAAGAAGCGTGCCTTCTCTGTCACGGGCTCCGCCCTCTAGAACAGCATCCCCAAGAGGTATGGACAGTGCCCACTTTCCTGGGGTTCTAGAAAGCCTAGGGTTAATGAGGGTGTGATCTATTTGTGGGGCTTCTGTCATATTGTTATTTTGTATTCTCTGTACAGTTAGTTGTTCTAGTTGTTTTAGCCCAGGCAGCCTGTTTATATGGGCTTTAACTGTTTTATTCTTTTTTTGTGGATTTTGTAAACTGTCCAGGGTCTTCTGGAATCAGCAGCCATGTTAAATTGAATAAATAAATACATAATGTATTTATTTATTTAATCCTAAGGATTAAAATTTGGTATTTTATTATTATTATTGCTGAGGAACTTGGGATTCTGATAACCATATATGGCTGATTTAATATATCTTAAGTTATGTGCAGTTTTAATTAAGCTGTTCTTCCTTTGTAACTTTTTTTTCCTAGTAATGTAATGGTTTCCATTTCCTTTTTTCTGTTCGAAGATATTCTTAGGGCCAGATGGTAATCTTCTTTTGCTCTTTTCAGCTGTTGGAGCTCAAGCAAAGATATCCTTCACTAAAGAGCCATATTCTCAGGATGCCTTGCATGGTCGCAGTGCCATTTTGCGCTGTGAAGTGAAAGAGCCTAGAGATACAGAATTTGAGTGGTTACAGAACGGGGTACCTATTCAGGACACTGAACGGCGTTTCAAGGAAGGGAGTAACCTTCAGTTTGCATCTGTTGATCGTCAGCAAGATGGTGGGAACTTCCAATGTGTTGCCAGGAATATAGTTACTGGAGAAGAAGCTCGGACAACAAATGCATCTTTCAACATAAAATGTGAGCACCATGTTTTTTACTAACATAATCTGATGTTCCATTCAGCTGTCAAAATGAAAATGGAGAGCGAAGCGAAGAGATACAACAAGTGTATCTTTAAATAAGCTTAATTGGCTTCTGCCACAAATGCACTCATGCACTAGGGAGCTTTGGTTAATCATAGCTCTCTAGTGTGTGCATATGAAAAATAATAGTTTGGATGGACAGCCCAAATCCTTTTGTGGTAAAACTTGAAAGGGGCATTGTTCATTGAGAATATAGTCTATTCACCATTCCATAGTCAATGTCTGTTTGTTACTAATGCAGTTTGTTGACTTTATTAAACTAAAACAATGCTAATAACAGAGTGGAAATGTAAAGTTTAATACATTTCAGATGTTATTAAACTGTATGGCTTAATTTAACAGGATAACCATTAACATAACTATAATTAATATATAAGTTAAAAAGACAAAAGGGTGGAACTCATAAAGTAAAAGGAGAAATTGCATGAAAATATACATTCATGGATAGAACAACTCAAGGAAATTTGACCGGATTGCTTGAATCTGTTTCCTTGTATTTATACTGAAACTGTGTTCTCCCTCAAACTAGTTCTGATGTTGATTAATAATAATGTCAAGTATGGCATAAGAAGAAGGGACTTCCCATTTTTTGACCTGGAATTCTTTTTTTTTTTTTCTGTGGGTTAGCCAAAAAGTTTTTTCTTATTGTGCACTGCCAATTATAGCTGTGTAGCTAGTTGCAAACTGACATACATGCTCTAAATATTCTGAATGTTATGATACACACTCAGATATGTGCCTTAAGTAAATGTGGAGCCGGAGTTCTTTCATGTATATTACAGGCATACTTAATGTGTACTCACAATATTTGTTATTGGATTAATGAAGTAGGAACAAAAAAATATACTTAACATATAGCTAGGGAAAGAAAAATTGGAGAAACTTTTATTCCTCCTCAAGTCAGAAAAAGCTGTGATAAAATAATGGATCTTCTGTCTTGGCCTAGAATTTGGTCAGAAGATGCACATTAAAGTAACCTTGTTGAGGATATCTTAATTCAGTCAGAGCCTGGATGCTGCCTGACAGCTTTCAGCTACTGAAGGAAAGTGTGCTATAGATAAAATACATAAATGTCATGAGCTGCAACTGCAGAACTTTCTCAGTGGCAGGAAGTTATTTAGAATATTGTAGCACTTTCTAGATTCTAAAATAATGTTTATGGCTTTATTTTCAGTAATGCAGAGTATCTGAAAACCAAGGTCATAACTTGGGCTGAGTCAGTTCTTTGAGTCAGATCTCTGTTACGTCTACTGTTAATTCCATTCTTTGTTTAGGGTGAGCCAGGCTAAAAAGAAGAATCATGGGAGGTTTTCAAAAAGCCGGATGTAAGCAAATGAGGCAGTTTTGCATCTGGCTTGTCAGTTGGGTTTAGCATTCCAGGTGTAAATCCTCTATTTGGCACAGTTAATGTTTGCCTTTCTCTGCTCTTTTCTTCCCAATCCCTTAATTCTTCAGAATCATAAGGAATATGACAACCTAATTAATGGCCAGCTGTGCTTATGGAGTGTCACCCCATAGACTATATAATAGCTTTCACCTGCTATCTCTGTTTCATATTGTGACAGGAGAAAGTCAGCCTTGGGATGTCCCAGGACTCAGGTGATTCTCCCCCCAAAAGAACAACTATTACACCTGCCAAATGCATTAATAACTGTAGGCACTGCCAGCAGATCCTAAAGCTCATCCCAGCTCTCACTATGCTAGGGCTACTTCAATATGCATTATTTTTGTCTAGTATACGGTTAATTCCTCTTCTGTTATCTTGATGGTTTTCTGTTTGCAAATGCTAAACAGGAAAGGTTGCATTTTATCTGATGCCTTCTCTGTAAGGATTTCTTTAATAGTTACATAAATACTTTTTTTTTCATAGTTCCATGTAAAGCTATAGACAGGCAAGAATGTTACCATTTATATAAGCAAGAGTGATACAAGTGACTGCAAAACAAATAATTTGCTTGATTGTGCTTTCTCAGTGCCAGGCATGTGCAGTCATGCCAAGGTGGAAACAGTTTTGTACTTCTACGGTGACTGATGATTTCCAAAGTGTACAGAGAGGTTGAGGTCTCAAACTGACTAATTTTAACTTCCCGTCATTACTGTATTTTTGACAGGGATTGAAACAGGAAAAGTTGTCTTGAAGAATCCAGACAGAGTGGAGGATATACAGAGTTCTGCCCCAGTAACATTGCATTGTCATATTGATGGGCACCCACGGTAAGGAGTCACTACTTTGAAGGATTCATGCTTATTTTGGCTAACTTTTCCTCCTCCCTTCACTAGTGTAACCTTCCTCTTTCAGTAAACTCTTAAACACTTAGAAGAGTTGAGTAGCATAATCCTGAACTTGAAAAAGGAGGCAGTAGCATTGCTGATGCCTGAATGTCCTTTAATGATGTGAAGATGATACAGGTTGGGCGTACATAAGGTTATTGCTTTTTGGCACAACATTTTCTAAAATTTTTCTTCTATATCTATGAATTTTCATTAAAATATCTACATCCAGTTCACATATTTTGGTACAAAAGGCTAATGGTGCATTTATTAGTTGCTTTCTATGTGATTGCTTTTTTCATGATTCTGAGCTTTTAAACTGTGTGTGTTTCCTAGTCCAACAAGTCAGTGGTTCCGCGATGGTACCCAAATTGTAGATGATCGTACAAATTACTCAGTCAATAACAAGGAACGGACATTGACCTTCAAGAGTGCCAGCCCAGATGATAATGGCATTTATTACTGTTGTGCTCGGAATGCTGTGGGCATTGTATGCAGCAGAAACAACTTCACTCTTAGTATTATAGGTAAATGGTATTTGTGCTCTTACAAATTTCTAATCTTGGAGAAAGTCTCAAGTGTTCTTGTGTTGGATGTGCTTCATGTTAGTGATCTGTTGACTCTAGCAGGTTCTGCCTATTTCCTTTGGGACCATTCCCTTCAATTTAATCTCTCACCTCTTCTATCACCCCTCAGCCCTCTTCTGGCTGCAAGGAAGGCTGGAATTCCAACTTCTGCAGCCACTTTTTTCTCTTTTTATAAATGGGTTGATCAGCTGGCTGGTTTAAAGAGCTTGACACCTTGAAACTGACCAGTCTCTTTCTGAATTAACCATGCAGTTAAAATTGTAATTGAAATGACCCAGCTCTTGTATTTCTGTAGCCTACAGTATGTGGTTGGGAATTCCCTTCCCAGTGTCTGCTTCTCCCAGGGAAGCCTTGGCTTCTTGCTTTCTTTTCTCACATTGTCTTGTTAAGGTACTTTACCGCTCCCACGCCAATCCACACAACTGAATCCATTTCTTAAACTTCAGCTTTTCAGCAGCTCTTACCTACTAGTTGCATGTTAGCTGCGCAAATCTGGATGACCATTGAATGGCAGCCAAGAGAGACAAGAAATTCTAACCTTTTGCTGCCACCCAGTGGTCAACCATATGATTCCTAGTTTCAAGGAATTAAAAATAATAATTTAGTCTACTCTGCAACAGGAAGGTGAAAAATGCAATGCAGAGAGTAACTAGTGTGGTACATGCCAGATGGAGCAAGCTTTTCAATGTAGGATGACATTGGGCAGGGCAAAAAATTCAGCCAAGGAAATTATTGATCTCACCTCTTAGAATGGTGTGTATTAAAGCTGTATGGACAGCAGCATAACACAGGTCTGTTCCCGGCGCATGGTAAGGGCATGCTGTGAGGGCAACAAGATTAAGGGTGGCTTGGTTTTCTGCTGGCACTGGGATGGGAGGGAAACATGGCAAAGCACCCATGTGAATGTGGCTTTACTTCCATTGGAAAGGAAAATGTTGATTGAAAGAGAGAATCGAGGTAATGAATTGATTTCTCATGTTCCTTTTCCCTAATAAAGATGAAAGCTTCCCCCACCCAGTGATTGTTCCTGAGAACCAAATTGTCAATAAAAATGAAGAGGCTATGTTCCACTGTAAGTTCCAGGCTGTGCCACCTCCCACTCAGGAATGGCTATTTGAGGATGATTCCCCTGTTCAAAATCGGACCAGGTAAGTAGTCGATTTAAAAATAGAAAGCTGTGGGGGTAGAAGGTCACATGGCAGGTATATTTTCCTGAAATGAAGATGAATTGCTATTATTGTTTTGTACTGATCAATGATCTGCCATGCTGCTCTTTAATATTATGGGGAATGCTTTCAGAATTGGCTCAACAGTTGATCTTTCAATCACATTACATTTGGCAGAAAGATGAATCTACTGCTGGCCAGAGTGGTTTCTGGTTCTTAAAAATTACTCAGCATTGCCTGTTTATCACTTTATCACCAGTCAGTTGTCTACAGCAGTAAATACTGTAGTGAAGGTTGTCAGAATAGTGAATAGTATTACTGTATGGAGGCATCCATTATTGCTTGTAAGTATCACTTCATTGTCAGCTCAATACCTCTTTTCTCCCTGTTCTTTCAAAGGACCATCATATTTTCCAATGGCTCTTTACTAGTAACTCAGGTGAAACCACGCAGTGTTGGAGTCTATAAATGTGTTGGCCGTGGACAGAAAGGAAAACCCGTAATCCTGGAGGCAACCCTACAACTGGCAGGTATGAGCTTGTATCTCACAATGACTTTGTGGAGTTTGGTAACTTTTGGACTGAAAGTTCTTAGCTTTACCATAATTTTAGGCTGGTAGGAGCTGGCTACCCAGAAACCTGGATATCCTGCAAATGATAAATTGTTTGATATTTTTCATATTCAAATAAGTAACTAAAACTTACCTTAACACATTTCACCCAAAACATGTATCAAAATTGTTTCCACATTACTGGATTCCAAAATGTACATTCTGTTTTTCCCAGAAATTGAAGATTTCTCCCAAGTGTTTGATCCCCAAATTTTCATAGCCAATAAAGAACAACGTGTAACCTGTGTGGCTCCTCATGGGATCCCTGAACCCCGTATCTGGTGGGAGAGGAACAATGTTCAGATCCCCACTACTGGCAGAGTTCACCAAGAAGCAGGGGACCTCGTCTTCACTACTATTGTAGAAAAGGATGCTGGAATATACACCTGCCATGCTGTGAACAAGGCTGGAGAAAAAAAACAAGATCTTTCCATTACAGTAGCAAGTAAGCTGATTCCATTATTTATATGTTGAGAGAACAGAAGGAGCAGTGGCCATTCTAAGTTGGGATGGTAGTTAAAGAGAAGGAAAAATTCACTCTAAAACATTTGATGAGAACTTATAAATCTTGGATCTCAGAGCTAAATGAACCTAATGTTACAACAAATCTATGGTATTTATTATATTCTGTCAAGATGGTCTTTGATGTTTTTCAAGAAACAAATGATATGGATCTTATGTAACCTCTTCAGCAAGCCCATATAGAGTGGCATATGATGCATACCAGAGTCTTCTGTTATTAAATCAACTGATTGGTAACCACATTTCTTTTCCCCCTATCTCTTCCCAGCAATGCCAGAATGGGTGGAAAAGCCCAAGGACAGTCAGCTAGAAGAGAGTAAACCAGGATACCTTCATTGTCTTAGTAAAGCCTCTCTGAAGCCCACTGTCAACTGGTTTCGTAATGGCATCCCTATTTCAGAGGTAAATTATCAAAGGATCTTTTATTGTCTGGTGGAATAGGTTGTCCAGTCATTTTGCTGCTTAATCTCCTATACTCCTTTTTGTTATAGTTTAAGGTACTTCAGGCTTCCTGCCCTAGGGCAGGAAGTCTGATAAATATGATATGATAAACAAATAAAAATAGTTCTCTTAGATGCTTCTATTATACTGAAGTATGATTTTTCTTTCTATAGCTCTAAGTTGTTTTACATTCTCTTGATTTAACACTTTATTTCTCTATTTCAGCATTGGGCTATGTTTTTCTCTAAAACACTCTCTGTTTCTAGTGTTCTATTAACCTTCAGATGAATCCATGTTAGTGTGTCTCCTCCTAATGTTTCTCAGCTGTAGATCTCTCAAAATGCCCAATGAATGTGTAGGTTGAGCCTTGCTTCAAAGAGTTTATTTAAAGGAGAGTTATGATAGTAGACACGGCTTGTCTGAAGATGCCTATCTAGGGGTACCTATTCCTTGGAGCATCCTCCAGTCCAAAGAAGGCCTCTCAACCTGGTTGGCTGGTGGTTTTCTAAGATAGAGAGTCCTTCTGCTGCTGAAGTTGGTGGAGAATAAATGACAAGAGAGTTGCTCCTGATTTTCTCTTCTGTTTTTTCCTTGCTCAGATAAAATGAATAGAGAATTCTGGGAAAATAGAACAACTTACATACATGAAACCTATCACAGCATGTATGCATACATCTAGAACTATCTGTATCTATCTGTATTTATGTTAAGATACATTCATGTGTATCAAATTTCTTGTTGTTTGGGAAGGGGTATGGTGCACCGACAAGAAAGCCAGCCCACACACATATTTCAGTATTACCAACCAAGAAAAGTTCACTAGTGGTGTGGCCCCATTCATAGTTTCCATTCTCTCCCTCACACACATACTCATTTAAACAAGTGTGTGGTCTTGCAGTTAACAACAGAATATGTCCTGTGGTTTTATAGATTAGATTCCACTGGCTTAATCCCATTAAGCAATTAAAACCCTTTCATAAAACTGTAACAAAAGGGAGATGAACTTAAGCATCTGACATAGTGCTTAAAAAGTGTTAATTGGAAATCTCCATTTTAATCCTCTTCTTTTTCTGCATATAAGATACATCTGGAAATGGAGTCTTATTCTTGCAGACAAGAACCAGCTAGAACATAATTGCAGAGGGAGGAGTGTGCTGGGTAGGAACCAGGCACTTATGAAGGCCCTTTTAACATTGTTTCAGGTCAAAAGGCTATAGATAGGATTAATACCTACACAACAATATTTCAAGTTTTCTGTGTTACACCTTTTGTGTGACAATATAAAAATTTGGTATTTGAGGGTAGAGGTGGTAGTCTTTTAATTATTTAAAATGTTTTTGCATTCTCTTTTGTGAGATGGGTGAAAGCTGTTTTAAATCAACAATCAACTACAGTCTCCTTCACACCAGAAACAATCTGAGCATATAGCTTGCACAAAAGCACTTTGAAATTGTGTTGTTCTTGATGTTGGAGCTGAATGTAGTCATGCTTTATGTCTTCACAATTTTCATGCTGGGCAGGATTCCCGCTTTGAAATTGCTGAGAATGGGACGCTGCGTATTAACAATGTGGAAGTGTATGATGGGACAGTTTTCAAGTGTGTAAGCAGCACTCCAGCAGGAAGTATTGAAGAACAAGCTCGTGTGCATGTTCTGGGTATGTGCTAATGATAAAGCCTTTGCTTGTTGCATGTGAGAGTATGTGTGTGTGTATCAGTTAGTTTAACCTCAAACCATATAACATGAAAACATATATAAAATAAAATACAAAATATCAAAAGACCACCAAGCACCATAACAAAACAACCAAAAGGGAACTCCTCTCAACTGGCCCCTTATGGCTGGGGGAAAAACCATGTCTTAATGACTTTCGTAAAGACAATCGGAGTTGGGGCCTGTCATATATTAGGGGTGAGACCATTCCAGAGAACAGGGGCAACCACAGAAAAGGGATGCTTCCTAGATCCCATAAGATGACAAGATTTAAAAGAAGGAACCTGGATGTCAGAATCCTCGTAAGATTTTATAATAGATTGTTATATGGCTAGTTTAGAAATTGCTTTTTATATGCTGTGGTTCTGCCATTGTAAAAGGGGGGGGGAGCAGGAATGAGAAACCGTTAAAAGCAGATGGCTCCTTATCACAGGCACGGAAGGTACAAGGTCATACCAGCGAGGGAATCAGAAGACCAAGAACTAAGGGGGGTGAAGGGGGGGGAAAGTAAGAAAAACAGCTTTTGGCGCGCTTTTGCTTAGTCTTAGCAATGGTTTGGATCTGTACACTTATTCTCAATAAATGAACTTTCTTTTGAATCAATATTGGTTGCAAGGAAAGTTACTGGATTTGGGATCAACAGGTGGCAGCTCGTTACACTGGATCGTGTGGGAATGTTTGTCTCTTATATTCCTGGTGCTGCCTCGAGAATGAGAGTCTTTATAGACCTTGAAATTTCTCCTGGCCATACGTACATCTTTGTGATCTACAGAAAGAAGGTTTTCTTGCAGAAAATTTAGGAATGTATTATTTAGACGCTGTACTTGTCTCTTTAAACTTCTGACAAATGCAATTTCATTTCAGAAAAGCTGAAGTTTACTCCTCCTCCTCAACCTCTGCAGTGTGTCGAATTTGATAAAGAAGTCACTGTTTCCTGCTCAGCTACAGGGCGAGAAAAACCTGCAATCCATTGGATTAAAACCGGTACAATCTAAAAATTGAAGGTTATGAGTTGGGGTGCAAGTTACATAATTTTTGCTTTTTGCATGATATACCAATAGAGTTAATTACAAGAGGCATCTTTAACTTCTGCTTTGGAAAGAAATCTAATGCAATTGCCTTTTAGATTTGCCTTTTGTCTTCTTTTACTGTTGTTTTTAAATAAAATACTTTCCATATCTGTTCTGTGAAACTAAAATTCTCCAACCTCGTATTCTGCTGATTGGGAATTGGGTGAGCTGTAATCCAAAATATTTGGAGAGCACTAGATTAAGTAAACCTTTTCAAGTTGCTGCCTCCTATTTAGTGCTAGGCTGCTGCTCTGCTACTTATAATCCAGTTTTGAATTATCTGTTTGCTCCTGCCCAGATGGGAGAAATCTGCCAGCTTGGGTCAGTGACAATTCTGGAAACCTGCACTTTCATAAAGTGACACGAAGTGATGCTGGAAACTATACTTGTATTGCTTCCAATGGTCCACAAGGAGAGATCAGAGCAACAATTCATCTGACAGTGGCAGGTAAACACTGGGTGACAGAACGTCATGTATTGCTAGCATAATTGGCAATGTGAGCGGCCAGTTTGATTCTCTACAGGTCTCTGTAGGGTCTTCAGTCTATTTATTTATTTTCATGTTACCATAAAGCACACATGTAGTGTGTGCTCACTCTGTAAATGAAATGTTCCTGTCTCTAGATGCTAAGAGAAGGCTTTTATTACTGTTAAGGCATCTCAGGTAATGGAATACATGGGGAATGTCTTGGTAAAGACATCTTTGTGAGATTTGATGATAAAATGTGAAAAAATGGATTTCTTTCCTGCTTGCTATTACTGCTGCTATCTGATAATATAGTGGGTACAATAGTCTGCCAGTTTGATGATTGAGTCAGGTGATCACCAAATACAGCTGGTCTCCTCAATTGTATCAAGAAACAGCAGAGTCTAAATGGTGTGCAAATTATTTCTTTTTCTCCTTTTAGTATTTATAAGCTTTAAATTGAGGCCAGATGACACAACAGTATATCCAGGACACACAGCCATGTTCCAGTGCCAAGCTGAGGGTGACCCATTGCCACAAATCCAGTGGAAAGGAAAGGATAGGATTCTGGATCATGATGAATTTTCACCCAGGTGTGGCTCTTTTTTTTTTTTTGCTGATTAGCTTATTTAAAATGTGTATGAATGAATAAGTGTCTGAGTGTGCGTGTATGTAACTACACATACATACATACATATTAATTCAGGATATCTTTGGAAACTATAAGGAGTTATTTGTGGAGCCAGGGTCAGTTGTCAGTGTTCTGCAAGATTATAGCATTTGCTAGTGGATGCTTCGTACTTTTATTTCAAACACGTTTTCAGTATATACTTGCAAAAAGTTGGAGATGTTCTGCTAAAATGCCAAATCTTGCAACAAAAAGAGATTGCAACATAAACAAGCATTAAACATAAGTTTATTTTCGAACTCAAATCTGTTGTACTTTTTTCTGATTTCTTTTGCACTTTATTTTTGTCAGAAATTGGAAATGTAGGTTGAATGAAAATGAAAAATGGAGCAAATATGTGCACTGACTGCAAAATAGAATATATGAAGTATAGGATTCCTATTATTAGCATCTCATGGAATCTCAGTATCATGAATTGCCATCAGAGATGGCCATCTTCAGCCATTAGGACTAGAAAGGCCATCATTTTAGGAAAAAGGGGAAGATGGTTTGGAATTTCTGGATTCTATATGGAGGCTATTGTACAGTTTTGAAAAGTAAGATTGCAGCACTGTGCAGTATATGTATTATCCATTATAATTTGTGTGTGCGTGTGTGTGTTTGCCTATACACACAATACAGCTACATAATTTAGCATCTAAGAATTCCAGCTTTCACAATTGTTCTTTAGATATTTTTTTTGAAAAAATGTAGATAGTGACTGGAGAAACCAGGCTATTCAGTAGAAAAATATGAGAATCAGTGATATAAAATATATACAAAAATTTGAATTAATGGAATATATGCAAGTGGCAAAAATAAATGCATAAATACTTGTAAAGCAACTGTAATATCCTTGACATTCATACATGATTGCAGCAGCCAGTATGAAATGCAAGTTCTATAAACAAGACCTCATAAAGAGGGCAATAGAGAATATATTTCAGTAAGAGAAGCTGAGCAACAACCATAAGAACACCCTACTAAACCACATTATCACTGCCAAAGTATCTTTGTCTATTCATTCTCTCCCTCTTCCTTTCCTGTCTTTATCATGTAGATCGCTCTTGAACTGCTGTGCTTTTAAGGAGGCTCTTTCCTTCAGGCCTTTTATGTCTCCTGCTTGCAGCTCTTTCTCCACCTTGTGTTTTATGGGAAAAGTGCCCTCCCTAGCCTGTGGCACAACCCTCCCCAGAAAGTCACACAATAGATGAGCAGTTAAGGGATCATCTCATTGCTATGACTTGTATGCAGCCATAACCAGCATTTACAGTTGATTAAGCAGTCAGGCAGATGCTTCTTGAGCATGCCTCAAAGTGCTGCATCATGGATGTGTTGATACAGGAAAAGATAACATGTGCCTCACATGTCTTATGCTTTTCGGCCCTAAAGTTCAGCCTCTGTTGCTCCAAAAGAATCTCTGGTGGTTGAAGTTTTGTACCTAAAACTTCGGAGAGCAGATAAAATTTAAATGGTAACCATTGTGCAAAATAAATGATGTTTGTGTGACAATTTGGGGGATTGGAGTTTTGTAGAAGATTTGATCCATTATTTGGGCATAGAGTTGGAACTCAAGATTTTAAGCTACATGTACAGTTAGAGAAGAATTGGAAATGTAGAAATAATTTAATTTTGAAACTGATGAGGCTTCTTTAAAGTAACCCAAGATTTGGGTTAGAATCACAAGAACCCCTGTGACAAAAATGTCATACAAGTGGTCACATCCCTTGGGACTATTGAGAGAAAAAGCCAGGAAATTTGACTGGATTATTTTTTTCTTTTATTCTGAAGCACAAGAAACCACTCCAGTTAGGTTATTGGTTAGCATTGTCCTCTCCTTTCAAATCTGTTTTTGGAAGAATTGTCATTTATTAACTCAGAAAATGTAACTGGCTGCTGCATTTTGGTTTAGAAAGGAATGATTAGTAGCAGAGAGGTATGTTTGGGAAATATGGCACATAGCAACTGAAGTCACTGGTAGGCAGGCCAATAGTTTAATTGCATGATCTTTCCCTACCCTCTGCTTGCTTTTATATTTTTTGCAGGATCCAAATTATGACCAATGGCTCTCTGATAATATATGATGTCACCACTGAGGATTCTGGCAAGTATACTTGCATTGCTGGCAACAGTTGCAACATCAGGCACCACGAGGCCTTTCTTCACGTGGTTGGTAAGGACTGTCTGTTTGATGGTGATCAGGCTGTAGTTTCTAGAATGCAAGAAGGTGGTTTTTCTGTCATGAATTCTGCATCTCCCTGGCTCTTGTAGAAATGAGTCAGAATTTTCTGTACCTACATATTGTGGGTTTAGCATAGTACTGTTACCCATTATGAAAGGAGGCCAGAGTATTATATTAGGCAAGCTGGAATTTAATTACATCTAACAGTTCTCCTAATTATTCAGAAATAAGAAGCTCCCAGATTTTATCCTGTATTTATGTATAGCTCAGAGAGTTGATGGAGAGACATTTACTGAGCTATTTTTAATACATTCTAATACAAGTTAAAAACAGTCTGGATGTGATGTGTTGTATACTTAATCAGCCCATATATTACAATAATTTGGTGGCACATCTCACGTAAGATCGGCATCTTATTTCCAGATAAACCAGTTACCAAACGTGAGGATGCACCCAACAGCCACACTCCCTATAAAATGATTCAGACCATAGGGCTATCTGTTGGTGCTGCAGTAGCGTATATAATAATTGTGTTGGGCCTCATGTTCTACTGCAAGAAGAGGAGGAAAGCAAAGAGGTTGAAGAAGCAGCCAGAAGGTGAGGAACCAGAGATGGAATGCCTGAATGGTAAGTTATAAGATCTTTTTCATGCCTTGAACAGAATACAAGAGGTCTTTCATTCAGCTTAAGTTTGGGGGATAAAAGCTGAATTAATTATTTGATGTGTGTATATTATGAAGATAAGGAGTCAAATACAGGTAGTCCTCCACTTACGACTGCAATTGGTCCGGAATTTACATCACTAAGTGATGCAGTCGTAAAGTGAGATTTCATGTGACCACATCACTTAGCAACTGCAATCCCGGCAGTCCCGGTTGCCATCGTTAACCAGGAATTGCAGGCAGTTAAGCAAGTACACATCCCAATCCAAGCCATTCCAGGCTTGATCCCTCCCAGCCCAAGTCTCAGTAAGGTAAGGGACTACCTATCTCCCCCCGACATCTCTGCCCTTCTGGTCACCCTGCACCCTGCCCTGTGGGGAGGCAAGCAGTCTCAGAAGTGTGTGGCTCTGGAACTGTTTGCTGTGCCCCGGGAAACTGCAGTCGCCCCAGCCTAGTCCCAGCTGCAGTCACCCTCGGCCCCCCCTGCACTCTGAGACCCCTGCTGCCCTGCACTCCACTGTCTGAGCTGACCTTCACAGTCTTCCTGCTCCAAAAAGCCCCTTTGAAAAAAGGTCCTGGGTGGGGCTGGGTTGGGCTTTTGCTTCTCACTGTGACAAAAAACAAAAAGCCGCGCCCAGCCCTGCCTGGGAGTTTTTTGCAAAGGGGCATTTTGGCACGCTGCTGTTCAGGTGCTGCCTTTGGCTTTTTTTTTTTTTTTTTGGCCGTGCAAAGCAAAAGCCCAGTCCAGCCCTGCCCAGAAGCTTTTTGCAAAGGGGCATTTTGGAGCAAGAAGGTGGTAAAAGGCAGCTGTGGCTGTGGTGCAGGGCAGCAGGGGGCCAAGAGGGCATAGATGGGGGTAGATAGGCAGGTGGGGATAGTTAAAGCACCCCTGCAGTTGTAAGTGTGGGCAGGCTGCCAAGCACCCAAATTTTGATCACGTGACCGTGGGGGTGCTGCAACTGCCATAACTTTGAGCACCAGTCATAGATCACTTTTTTCAGCACATTCATAACTTCGAACAGTTGCTGAACGAATGGTTGTAAGTTGAGGACTACCTGTAGACAGATCAAGTAATGCAGTTCTATGGATTAAACTAACATATTGTGTGGTCTAGAGAAAATGTTGGAGATTCTTAAAGATGAGATATTGCTGATACTTTAACAGTGTATAATATTTACCTAGAGTCAGGAAGCAGCCGGTGCCACTTTTTAATAAGGGGAAGGAATCCAGGAACTTCCATACCAGTTAGGTTAACATTTGTTGTTCTGAGTAAAATGATAGGTAGATTAAAGACAAAATAGTCAAGAAATTTTATTGAACAAAAATCAGGACAGCTTCTGCAAAGGAAATTCCTTCTCACCAACTATTTTTATAGAACGTCCACAAGTATGTGGATAATAACTTGGTAGGAATTGTATATGTTGAACTGTTGACATCTCATTAAAGGCATTAATGAGAATTTAAACTATGGGATATAAATTCTGTTATGACTGATACATTTGTTGTTCTGAGTAAAATGATAGGTAGATTAAAGACAAAATAGTCAAGACATTTGTTGTTCTGAGTAAAATGATAGGTAGATTAAAGACAAAATAGTCAAGGATTAGGAAACGGAAAGTAAGAATTGGTAAACTGCATAGTGAAGGAAAGTCAAAAAGTAGATTCCCTTAGGAATTTGTTCATAAACATAACTGACCTGAATAGTGAGGAAGTGACCATGTCTGTAAATGGTACTAGATTACTTAGGATGATGAAAATTCAAGAATATAAAAAACTGGAAGTTTGTGATAAAATAGTATCAGTATTAGCAAGTTAAAAGTGATGTACACTGGGGCAAAAATCCTGACTACAGGTATTCATGTGGTGGAATCTGAATTAACTTTGTAATTAGACTCTTTTTGGAGGACAAGGAAACAGGAAACTTAGATTTTAAAAATTAATAATGAGTCCCTTATTGTTGGTTGGTTGGTTGATTTGGGGCCTGAAAACACTGTAACTGCTGCAAAACTCCAAAGACTTATCTTTTGGGTTCTAAGGCAGTAATGATACATGATTGGTTTAAAGGTTGTGGTGAGGAGTTTAAAACAGAAGTTAAAAGGAAACTGATCAAACTGGATAAGGAGTATCCTAAACACATGCTATTCTCAGTTCATCCTAATCGTATTTTATATGATTTTTAGAGCAGTTTTATTATTCAGATGAAATAGAGTTTGGGCTAGTTTAGAGACCTGCTAATTTGTAGTAATCAGCCCCAGATTTCCCAGGTTCCATTTTGAAAGTAACTGGTTTCCAGAAGCTGCCTTTGTAAATTGTTCTCAGGAGACACACAGTACTCAAAATAAATTAAAAATAGCTTTAAATTGTTTTATTTGCAGGGCAGGGCATAATTTAAAGTACCATTGTACTGATGGGGGGTGGTCCCCTTAAATTATCCTTCAGTTAAAAGGATAAAAGGGGAAGTCAAAGAAAATAATGTTGCTGTGCAGATAGATGACTGGCTGATTTTTCTCGATCATTCCTCCAGCCTTTAAGATATTTTAGATGTCCCTCCAATCTTTCTTGTACAAGGCTAACTTGAGTCATTGTTCCTCTGAGATTCCAAGGGTTGTCCGGAACATTTTGTTAGTTCAGCACTGCTAACAGCAGTAACTACCTGTTACTTCTGCTACTAAGAAATTGTGGCAAAATTCTGAAGGTTTATGAAATAGCCACAAGAGGTCTCCAGTGGGAGCTTCAAGTGATAAAACAATAGCAATAGAGACTAAATCAGATTTCAAGGATGCACTTAACTGGCATCCTGAATTGCATGTTTAGATGGCCCTCTAATGACCATAGTTAACTGCTGTTAAGAATGGTAGTTCTGCCAATAAATAAATCCTTATCTACCTTGTTGCTACAAAATCATTTAGAGGATTTTTAATATAACTATTAATAATTTTAACTTTTGAAAACTTTTAAAATTTTTTAACTAAGTTAAAATTAAAGTTAAATTTTTTTAACTAAGTTAAATTAAAATTTTAACTTTGTTGCATGCTATTTTTTTGTTACGCTTTCGGCCTACATTCTAGAAAGTAGCTGTATCACCCAAACCAGATTCATAAAGGTATAAACACATATCTTTATAAAAAAACATATCAAAATAAACTCGTGGATGACAGCCTCTTTTATCAGACATGTGAAATGAACTGAGGAAGCCGTGGCTATATCCACTTCTGGCTTTCAAGATAGTGGTGGAGGAGGAAGATTAAAGAAAGAAGCACTGGGGTAGGCAATGGGGTACCTGTAGGTACCAGTGTGCCCCCAGGCACCTCTCTTGCTTCCTGCTCGACTTCCTGTTCTATTTGACCTTTAAGTTAAATCAAACCCCAAGGATTCCACAGTTCAACCCTGAGCTACACATATTCTCTTCTACTGGTAAAAATAAAGAGGAAGCTTGTGTGATGGAAAACAAAGCACTAACCTCTAGCATAATTATTTATAAGAATGTTTTAGGGCCCACAAAGATCAGGTTTCTCTGAAATCTGTCTTAGCTTTTAATGTTCTACATTTTACAATCAATACTTTGTTTCAGGAGGATCATTAGCATGGGGCTTTTAAATTCCAGACATATGACACATCCTGGGAGGATTTTGGCTTAACATTTTTTAAGAAAAAAACCCCTTTCATTTCAGGGGGCACTTTGCTGCAAAATGGGCAAACTACTGCTGAGATCCAAGAAGAAGTGGCTCTGACGAACATTGGCAGCAGCTCTGCAGTCAACAAGAGGCACAGTAGTAGTGATAAAATGCACTTCTCTCGGTCTAGCCTGCAGACAATCACTCCTCTGGGTATGCTGCATAGCAGTCCTTCTGCTTCGTATTTGCTTGCGGTACACGTTCTGACCTTTTCTCCTGTTCCCAGTTCTCCAGAATGTACCATGGTCTTAAGTGAGATCCCCCTGTGTGGCTTTTCTCCCACTTCCCTAATTTTTATATTCTTTCCATCATCAATTCTTCTGTAACACTGTTATGTCTGTCATAGTTCTATGACTTTTATACAATTATTTAAATGTGTATGCAAATGAAATCAATTGTTCTGAAGCAAAATGGCCTTGCTTCATTAAATTATACATAGATATATCATGTACATAATCTTGCAGGGACATGCTTTCCTATATGAGACAAAGGGGGGGAAAGCCTTCTGATGTGCTTGCTGTCTGAAGAGTTTCGATTTATATTGAAAAATCGCTAGTTATTTCAAGTTTTTTCATTGATTACCTAGTATCACAACCCACATTTTTATTTTACATTTATTAGGCAGCTTTTGGAAAGTGTCTTTGTCTTGTAAGCAGTTAAGTATTGAGCTATTTAAACGGAGCTTAATCCCTAAATTTTCCATGGGACTAAAAAGGACAGAGAAATAAGAGCAAACAGAGAAGTAATGTGTAGTAATTTAAGTTGTACATATTTAGGTTCAGTTACACACTGGTTTATAATTGAGCATAAAAACTGGGTGTTATGCCAAAGATATAATGGAAGAGATGGCTTCTGAGAAGGAAATTAAAAATGTATAATGGGTGGTACCATCCAAATATTCTAAGATGCCATTTCAAACATTCAGGACACTAAAGGAGAAAAGGCAGAAGGCAGCCAAGTTTGGTGGCAGAATGTTTACTTTTGTTTCTTGTTGAAATAAGGCTTACCATGTAAATGTTGATCTTTAAATGCCTCCCCCCCCCAAATAACGAACACTTGCTGGGAATTAGTATTCCCACTCATCATCAAATATCCTGGTTGTACTGATTCCTTCTATCTCAAATTGTTACTATCAGATCAGTCTGATTCTACTTCAGTGATTGCAGTCAAATTTATTTATTTATTTATTAAATTTCTCCCCCAAAGGGGGAGGTGGGAGACTGGATGGAAATTGTCTAGTACAGTAGGATCCAGGGAGGGTTTCTTGAGGAGTGGGTGCACCAATGCCTCCTTAAAGGCAGCCGGAAATGCTCCCTCCTGCAAGGATGTATTAACCATCGCCTGGATCCAACCATGTCATCTCCCGAGCTGCTTTCACCAGCCAGGAGGGGCATGGGTCAAGATGCCAAGTGGTGGTCTTCACAGTCCCCAGGATCCTGTCCACTTCCTCAGGATCAACAGGATCAAACTGTTCCCAGATAACTGGGTAAGAACGGTCCCCCGGTATCTCCCCAGACCCTGCCCCATGCTCGGAGTCTAACTTGGAACGAATCTGAGCAACTTTGTCCTGCAGATGCTCCGAAAATACCTCCGTGCGGCCCTGCAAATGAACCCCCACATCCCCCTTACCAAGGATGGACCTAGTGATCCTGAACAGGGTCGCCGGGCGGCATTCTGCAGACGCGATAAGAGCGGAGAAGTATTGGCACTTCGCCACTCTTATCGTCACAATGTAGGCCTTGATAGTGACTCTAACCTGTGTTCAGTCGGATTCAGTCTTTGTCTTCCTCCAGCGGCGCTCTAGATGTCTCGACCCTCTTCAGCACCCTCAACTCCTCCGTAAACCACGGGGAGTGTCAGGGCCAGTGTGGCAAGAGAGGTCGCATAGACGCGATCCTGTCCAAGGCCCTGGCCACCTCCCTGTTCCAGGCAGCAGCCAAAGCCTCTGCTGGACCATGCAGCAGATCCACGGGAATACCCCCCAGCTCCCTCTGAAACTCTGATAGGTCCATCAGGCTCCGGGGGGACCAATCGCATGCATCCTGCCTCCCTGTGGAGGGGGGTGGCATAGGAGAAACTCAGGGTCACCAGGATGTGATCTGACCATGACAAATACTGTTTCATAGTTTGTACAATGCACCATAATTTTTCTTGAAACATCTATATATTTTCTGTTTGGAAACATTTCAAATGCAGCTGTCCATTTAGTCACTACTTTATATCAATGTATTATGTCCTTACTGTCAATAGTTCTATCTTATTTTCATTATTAGCTGCCAGAGTCATTTTAACAATATAAATAGTCACTATAATTGGACTCTTAGTTTCGAAACTGTAATCACTTCTTATGTATTATTCTTCCTTATACATTACATCACTACATTTTCTCCAGATATAATATTAATTACAATTTTTTCCATGGATTTTGGTGTTATAATGGTTCTATACTTTAGATCGGTAATTTTACTATTCTATTCTTCTAAATTCTAAATAATCATTTAATTGCCTTATATAAGTTGTATAATGCCTTACCATATTAATATTTATGCCCAAAATTCTTAAACTTACAATTTTACCTGTATTGTTATATGATTTTATAGCCTGTTTTACTCTAGTCAATTTCTGTGCTATCTAGGCTGCATTGATATTCAGCGAGTTAAATGTGACTCTCTTGTTTTGTTTTGCTGGTCAGTGATTGAAATAAAACGACTGACTGATTTACCAACATTTCTATTCCTCTTAGTAACATCACCAGATACACCTCTTGCAACCATCAGAAACCAAAAGCAATTTAAAAGGCTGCACTTTTCCTGAAGCATGAAGTGTATACCCTATCAGTTCTCCTAGGTCCATTTTTATCATTAGAGACACAAATGTCCTTGTGTCATCAAAAACTATCTATGGGACTACTGGATAAAAGGGGGGCAGTGGGTATCTGCACCACACTCTCTCAGCCAACTCTAAAGTTTTCTTTGGAGCTGATAGCCTCAGATGTAACCAGGCTTTTCAACAATATCTAAATCTGCATTGTACTGTACTGTGCAGCATCCTGTGTGTATTGTAGAGATAATTAGCAAGCTGTTCTTTTTTTCTAGGCAAAGGTGAATTTGGAGATGTCTTCCTGGCTAAGGCAAAAGGCATTGAGGACAATGACACTGAAGTGCTTGTTTTAGTCAAGAGTCTTCAGTCAAGGGATGAACAGTTACAGTTGGCCTTCAGGCAAGAATTTGAGATGTTTGGCAAACTGAACCACAGCAACGTGGTGCGATTACTTGGCCTATGCCGGGAAGCAGAGCCTCACTATATGATCTTGGAGTATGTAGATCTGGTAAGAAATCTAATCAAATATTCAACTGCTGTATGTGTGGGGATTTTTTGTTTGTTTGTTTGTTTGTTTTTAAACAATATGTATGCAAGGTTGAAACTGGGCCTTCAACAAGTGTACTTTATTTGCTGTTAAGACCTTTTAATTGAAATAAGTGCCATGATGGATACAGAGATCTTGAGTAAAGCTGGTTAGATACAGTGGGGCAAAAAAGTATTT